TTTTTAAAGAAAAATAAAAAAAGGAAAAAAAAACAAAAAAAAAAACAGCCCGTTTTCATGAAAACGGGCCTGTTTTTTATTTTTAAAAAAGGGCATGAATAGGCTTTAGGAGGCTTGTACAATGTTCCTGGGGGCGGGCGGGGGGCAAAATTGAGCAAAAATATGGCCCATTTTTCATTCATTTCTCCCCTCCCCAGGATCACTCTGGAAGCCTTCTAAAGGCTCTGCACAGCCATTTTGGTGAAGTAGGCAGGGTTTGGGGAGGCAAAAAATGCTGTATTCAGTGTATAAGATGTACCCAGATTTTCAGCCTCTTTTTTGAGGGAAAAAGTGTGTCTTACTACGAAAAATACAATATTTTTAATTGCACACTTTACAGATTGTATAGATTCATGCTGAACTTCACCCATTTATAGTTTTGCATAACTATTCCTGGAAATCAAATCACTTCAAAGCTTCTAAAGCAGGGCTGTCAAACTCCTGGCCTATGTGCCACTTGCGTCAGGCGCTGGGCATTACCGGTTTAGCAAAGGGAAAAGTCCCGATACATCACGTGACATAAGTTTGACACCCCTGTTCTAAAGCAGTGGTTCTCAACTTTCCCAATGCCACAACACCTTAATACAGTTCCGCATGTTGTGGTGACCCCCAACCATAAAATTGGTTTCTCGGTTCCTAAGACCATTGAAAATATGTGTTTTCCGATGGTCTTAGGTGACCCCTGTGAAAGGGTCGTTTGACCCCCAAAGGGGTTCCAACCACAGGTTGAGAATCACTGTTCTAAAGGAAGGCTTCCAAATATAACTATAACTACAAAATACATTTACTGAAGCTTTATGATAATTAAGTTACTTATAAGGTAAACAAAAATAACAAGATATACTGGTACTTGTAATTCTGTTAATTTATTAATTAATTCCTATTTTATAATTATTCAGTTAAACATGTCTTATGCTGAATTTCAGTATTAAAAGAGAAAAACATACCTCTTTGAAAAGGAAGGGCAAGCATACTTCGACTGGTAGTGGAAAACCTATGTCATAAATACAAGTGAAATTACATTAGCAATTTATTTAAAATAAACAATGATAATGGGATAATTACAGAATGTACTCACATTCTGACTTGAAGTTTTCAGCTCTGCAAATAGGATCATGACATTTCTGATACCAATTTTCATTTTTCAAATCTATTATAATCCTTAAAATATAAATGGGATTTTAGAATTACAAAGTTTGTTCTGTAATAAATAAGAATGTTATTATTTGATGTCTGTATACCAGGAAATTAATTCCCTCCTTTTCTGTTACTGTTAAGAAAAAATAGTGCGATCATAGATATAAGATTAAGCACTAGTGAATAAAATTTGATTTACTGTTCATACTGAACCTCTGCATGCATGCATACACATGTATATGAACATACAGAAGCATCCATATATTGGATTTAGCAAGTTCATATACTTACCATATACTGATGCTGACTAAAAATGATTACCAAACCTTTATTCCCTGTATTCTAACATATCAAATTTTGCTATACCCTTTTTTTACAAATCCTAAACATAATTTACAAAAGCCTATATACCATGAAATAAATATAATTTAGATTCCAAAGCACTAAGTAGATATTAAGAGTAACAAGAGTGAACCTACATTATATTATTACTTTTGTGAGCTCTGCCAATATTTCTGCACCATCGATAGTTGAAGATGTCATATACAATAAGCTGTTCAAGTGAAAAGTAATTCCATCTTCTTATCCCTGAAAAAAAAGATAGTCTGTTTCTTGAAAACAATATAAGTACCTTTAGAAAACATATTTCTCCTGGGTAATTTTTTTTTACCTCCTTGAACATTATCTTTCTTGATTAAAGTGCGAACAAAATCATCAATTTCTGGGTAAGGTGAACAATGGCATCCTTCTATTGGAGCTGTAAAAGAATAAAATTACATCTTTATTCTTACCAATAAAATTAAAAAAATCATAGTAAGAACCAGCTAGGATTCATAAGTAATTTGTAAGCTTTTCGTAATTATTGTCAATATTACGGAGGCAAGAACCTTAATCTTGCTCAGAAGCAAAACACATTTTGAAATCTGCAATATTGTTTCGCAATTACCTTACAGAAAGTTAATACATATTTTACAACACAGGATTTTTTGTTGAAAGTGCACTCCTGATGCGCAGAATTAAGTTTGAAAATTACATTTATTTACATATTGTGAAATACTGATGTCAGTGCCATACATTTATTACTAGAACCAACATTTCAATTTAATCTAATGGAAATACCCAGACAGCTCCTTGATAGTTTGTCTTCAAAATGTAGGGATGGTTCTCTTGCATGTTCTTGGTTGTCACAGGTCAAAATTTTTAAGCAGTCTGAAAATCTGATGGAAAACAAGAATTATAAGAATATTTTTTTCCAATTATACTTCTCTATTCATGTATCCTTTTCATTCCATCATTGCCCATTAGAAAATGTTATTTTTAGTTTGCAAGGTATTCTAAGAGTGTTTTCACTGTGATATATATACTACGTATAAAATGACAGAAGTTGACTTAAAGAAATTTCAAGATGCAGTCTTGAAACAAAAGAGACAGGACAATGATTTCCTTCTATGACAGAGCTGTTTATCTTCAAGGATCCAAATCTGAGAAAACTCAACTCCTCAAACTAGTAACTCTTAGCATGCTTAAACTCGAGTATGATTGTGTAACATAGTCGCCTCAAGCATTCCCAGACAGAAAATCTCTTGCTGCTACAAATAAACATCTTCAATAATTAAAAAGGCAATACTTTGAAATTACTACCTTACATTGCAGATCAAGGAGGACAAAAAATACTGTTCATCTATGCAAGAATTATTTACAGATTTAGGAACAAACTTGTTATCTTCTGCAATATTCAAAATGACAGTGTGTCCTGCTTTTGATGACATGTATAATCGAAAATTTCTATTTTTTGTATAAACTCCTAAGGAAAGATAAATATAGAAAAGTATGAGGGTTTTAATCCATGAATACAAAACATTTCAACAACCATTTTTAAGACTGGATTTTGGTCTGCATAAGAATGTTTAACCCTACTGAATTAAGTCTTCAGTTTATCATGCATTCCTTTAAATACAAAAAGAACATAGAAAATAAGACAAATTATACATGTGTATGTGTTCAAAAGTTAAATTAGAATCGTCATTTTAAACTAGAATTATCATTTTTTTAAAGAAATACGGATTCCAAAGATTCTCCTTCATGTGGCATAGTTTCTTAAAGAAACTATTTTTCCGAAACAAGTTGGCTAAAAAAACCATTACTTCGAAAGATTGTTTTTTATTTAAATGAATGCTTTTCAAATACCCCAAATTTGGTAAAAGTGGTTTTTCTTTGGGTCACAATACACAAGCCCATTAAAATGGTTTCCTAGAGCAAATGCTGCCTTGAGTTATTTGTAAAAATAATAAAGTTGGGATGCTAAACAAACAAATAAATAAATAATTAAGCTTAGGTCAAACAGTCAAGGCAACATGTTAATTGAAGAAGATTAGAGTTTTTCTCATTAGCAATTCATAATTCATTCTTGATGTGGTATCTGGGGAGGCTATGGTGCCATTTTGAAGTAGGATTTTCCACACCTGCTTCGTAAAGAACACAAAACTCTTTGCCAGGCACAGAAGAACAAATCCACACATGAAGGTTCAATGAAGCAGATTTATTGCTAAAAGTCTATGTACATGAATCTTATTAATGGTTAGCACCTAGTTAAGAGTCAGATATGGGTAAGCAGTGCTCAAGTTGGAATTGGACATAGTTTCCTTATGACTTTGTAGAGTTTCCAGATCCCTCTTTTCTCTGTGCTCCCTTCCCCAGTCTTCTATCTACATTGTTAGAATACTTCATTAGCCAAGTGTGATTGGACACAAAAGAAATTTGTCTCTAATGCACAAACTCTTATACAAACAACAAAGTAAGATAATTCGCCTGAACTGGCAGGAAAACAATGCTTTAAAAAGTGGGGGGGGGGGAGGAAAGCTTCCCACAATCACGTAGCTCACAGCTGATCCACATAATCATGGGAAGCTTTCCGCCCCACTTTTTAAAGCATTTTTTTCCTGCCAGTTTGGGCGAATAGGCAGGAAAAAAATGCTTTAAAAAGTGAAAAAAAATTGACATGCCCACCCAGTCACATGACCACTACCACCACCAAGCCATGCCCACAGAACCAGTGGGCAAAAAAAAATAGATTTCACCACTGATGTAAATCATGTGACCATAGGAATGCTGCAATGGTCATAAGTGAAAAATGGTCATAAGTCACTTTTTTCAGTGCCATTATAACTTTGAACGGTCACTAAGTGATGTATTGTACCAGTAAGTTGAGCAGTACAAATGACAGATTAAATAATTCCTCTGTAAAACTGTATCAGCAGTTCCTGGGGCAGACTGAACTTTCTCGTTTTGCCGGACCCCAAAAATACTTGTGGATAATGAAGGAAAAGATTTGGGAAACACTGATTTAAACAAATCAAGTTATTTTGACTCGATTTAACATTTATTCTGAATTTTGAACTTTTCAAGTTTTTATGTGCTCTTCAGTCTGAATGTGTAGGGAAACTATTTTAGACAACACGGTAGACACTGATATTACTTTTCTTCTGAAATCTCTAATAAATGTTCAGAAATGGAAATGCAGCAAATACAAATTTATTGGTGATTGTATAATTCTAAAGTTCTATTCTAAAATTAATTAGTGCTCTGCAACCAAGATTATATTACACATGCAAAAATTAATTCTTAAAAAAATATTATATCAAAAATGATGTAATTGCCTATAATTTTTCTGTATTTGTAGTTGCATATAATTGTATGAATGAAGCTCTACAGATATTCTTCCTATTGCACATTATAAGATTCAGTATCATACATTGGGAAGAAATTGGGTCAGGCCTACACTGCAGCATCAGATATCATGTAACATTCAAATTTGTGCTAGAATTTTGAAACAGAAGTATACTGAAAAAATTAGTTAAACAATATACGAATATTCCCTGTGTGCATAACCAATTCTACATAGACCAAGAGAGAAAAATACAAAATACTAGATTCGGACTTTCAGATAGATACTGTAAATTTGCTAGCTATTTTCCTGGGAATGTCATATTTGAAAATAGTAGAACACACAACAGAACGCAAGCCCATCGTGTTCTTAACTAATCAACACCTGACTGCTGTTCAATTCATATATATATTTGCAATAACTGTTCATAACTTTTTTAGATCTTAAAATGTCATCAGGCACATTGACGTTTCATAGTTAAGAACATATCCATTAATCGTCTTACACCATGAAAATGCTTTGTCCCAATATGCTAATTCTGTAGTAAACACTACACAAGCCATGAATTAACTGTTTTCAAAACTGCATGTCTCACGGGAAGAAATATTTGCAATCTTAAACAATCCTGGCATGCTACGCAAACCCTAGACAGTATAATATTTAGGTTTATATTTACCAAGATCCACAAACAGTTGCTTTTCTCCTTGTTTACCATTCACTATTAAAAAAGAAAGATCTGGATTTTCTTCTGAAGTTACTTTTTCTGATATTTTGTAAGAGTTCAGTTTCAAGTTTTGACATGCATCTTTGATTAAACTGTTGGTTTCAAAACATGTAGGCAAACCAACGGTAGTTTTATAACATCGACCAACAGAGTTGATGTTTTGGGGGTCCATTGCATCTTTATTCTTAGTTAAAAGAATAGCAGGTTGCAAAATTGTTCTTAAAAAGTTACCTTTAAAATAATCAGAATAGAGAAAAACAGTATATAAACATTTGGAAAATCACCATAAAAACCTGTAATTTTCTCGCAAAGTGTTTAAAATCACAATATTTGTTATACAAACTGAACGGTATAAAGTTTATAAAAGCAAATGAATTAGAACATGCATTTGAAATATGAAATATTTACCTATGTGGATATTATTCTTAAATGCAGCATTTTCAAGTAGAAATATTAAATGGCAGCTATATTTTTCTTCAGTGCTGGAATCCAATTTCAAAATATTCTCAGCAGAGCATTTTATTTCATAGTATTCATCTAGTTTTCTACCTATAAACTAAAAAAAACCCCAATCACAATGCCCCTTTTCATTTCATATTTATGTATGTTCATATGTAAAGGCAGACAATCAAAACAAATAGTTCCATATACTAGCAGCAATCCACAATATTCTTATGGTTTTGAGAGCTTTTTCAAAAAAATATTGGCCTCTGAGAACCACTCAGAATGTACATTAACAATTTTAATTTTCATATATAAAAAATTATGATACATTGTAAGGTAAATAATTCTTATCATATATCTTCCCCAAACAAATAATATTTTCTAAAATTGTAATGAAATTCATTTTCAGGTTTAAACTTGAATTTATAGAAAGCTTTACAGCTTCTATTGGCTATTAATTCTGACAATCTATTATTACAATTAATTTGTAATTGCAATTCTCCTTTAAAAAAATACCTTAATTAGATCTTCTACCATCTGATTTGCGTTGGCTCCCTGATTTGTTGGTTTGTAGAATTCCAAATCAAAGTAAAGCTTGCAAACAGCTGTTTCTGGGATGATTTCATAGCAGTGTTTCAGTTTTGTTTCATGTTTGCTACGTTGAAATTCAGAAATATTGTCATCATAATTTGGTAAACTATTTCTCCCCTGTTTAGTACCGTTGACTAAAGATTCCCCCGTCTACAAATATCAGCAGTTTTAACTAATGCAGATAAATGGTGAAGGATGTGAGAGCTGCCATTCAGTAACTCAATAGTAACAACTGGAAAGTCTTGGGTTCCTCAGCCAGCTTTGACTAAAACATAGTAGAGCTCTGTGATCTATAGAACCATCACAATACTAATCAGGGCATTGTATTAACGTTGCAGAAATGCTATATAAGATATTTATACAATATTTTACAATCTTCCTTTTTGTTTGTTTGTTTCTGACCTGACAATTATGGAAAACCACAATATTTCAGGAAGGAATGCCAAATGTCAGCTGCATATTTAGGGGGACCTTCATGAGTCACCATGTGAAGAACATATAATCTCTAGCTATTCATATTAAGCCTTAAATATCCCCAGGGCCTTTCAAAAACTGTCAAATGAGACAGAAAGGGAAAATCATGAACTGTATTTACTTAATTTAAATGTATTGTATCAAATTTATTTTTATCCTGGCTTTGTTGACTTGTTAGTCTATTTCATGCATTTCTCATTTTTAAAGGACCACCTTAAAATCATAAAATCACAAGTGTCCCAAACATAAGGTACTATCTAAGCCAAAATGTTTGTGAGTGAATATTTAAAAGGTATCTATATTATCTATTATTCCGACAACAGAATGATCCCAGTACTATTTAAATATTTTAAGAAGCTGCTTAGAGACTTTAAGGTTGGATGTTCAGCATCATAGCAAAGAGCTAGCATCATAGTAAAGAGATAGCTATTCTGAATTTAAGCTTTATTTTTAAAAAAATCTGATAAAATTCATTATGTCTCATAATAATGGGAAAAATAAACACACAAATACTAAAGGCTGCAATTCTACACAAATTTTGGAATAAGCTTTGCTAGACAGAATTTGCATCAATGTAGGCTATAGAAATAATGTTGTTCCCAATCTTCAGGTACATACCGGTAGTAGAACCAAAGTTCTGTATAAGTTGTCACAAGATAGAGCCGCTGATTATTTCCATCACACTTTTCCAAAGCAAATACATGAACATCCTTTTGAAATAACATCAATGACATACATAACTACATATGCTTTTCTGAAAGTCATAGCTAGTTATTAATTTAGTTCTGTTGTCATATTTTGTCTGTAACATGCTGTTTGACAATAAAAGAAAGTCACATGAAAACAATCCTTTAAATCCTTTAAATATATATTTCTATTTTTTATTATTTGCTATGTATTATTATATCTAAATCCTGCAATATACTAAGTCTGCTTATTATATGAATGGCCCTGCTTCTTCCAAATAATTGTAATAATCTAAAAATTTCCTTAAGTATAAATCTCTTTTATTTTTTAATGATGCTGATTCGACCATAATTCTGTAAGCAACATTCAGCCATTTTTATTAAAGGTACTTATTTAGTTGTTATTGACCATTTCTGACTTCTTTCAAAAGAAACAGAAGCAAGCTGGCTTTGTGCATTTTAATTTTCAGTTTCTTCACTATGTAATTAAAATGTGGCTGTTTCCTAAGCTTATTAGCTTATGTTTTAAATATCCAAGGATTTGTAGAGTAAATCAGACTAAACCTGTTTTTTGAATATGGAGCATTTCATAAATAAAATTCAGTAATAATAAATTAATTTCTGAATTATCAAAATCCTATAACAGTTGTTAACATTCAATTGTCAGAAATGCTGCCCTATTCATTACTACTGTACCTCTTTACAAGTCTTGGCAAAATTAAATGCATGAGTTTGCCGATAGAATAGCTTCCAAACTGAAGGTGGTTGCAATGGATTGGACAGTTTGGGCTTGTAACTGGAGCAGAGAGGCCTCCGCTTATAGCAAGATGTTAGTTCCTCAACATTCTTCAGTTTTTCTTCCCACTTTCTCTTGGTTGATCCTGAAGCAATTAACAGTAAACACTTAAGACTTTCCAGAAAAAAATCCCAATTCAATCCAATAGTAACATTATGTTTATCAAAATGTTTGAAATCAGAAAGTTTTATAAACATGTTATAGAATGTAGTACAGGATGTGGAAGAAAGATGTTTATTTTCCTAAATATCTATTTATGTTGGCTGTTACAGCAAGTTGGGGATCTTCCTGCAGTCTGGCAGAATCCCTATGTAAGACAAAGATCTTTTGGTGTTGGTATTGGCTAACATCAACTTTTATCCATGTGAAGCTGGGTCAGATATTGCTCATGGCCTCCATGGTAACCATGAGCTTCTCCCATATAATCCTAGACCAGACATGTTAGGCTGGGATCCACTTCTCCAGATTTAGGAAGCCACATGTTGGATTTGCTTTAGATATTTAGTAGTCTGGATATGGAAGTTATTTCTATCACCCTTTGTCAAATCTCTTCCTAGTGCAAATAAGATTAATCTCTCTATATGGGATGATTAAACCAATAAACATGGTCTGCCACATTTTATGAATCAAAATAGACTCCAGTGGGTGTTTAAGGTAGTTTTCCACTGATTTTGTAGTGTTATATTGAGTATCTGATTAGTTACTGAAGCTGTCCTCTCTCTGTTAAGGTGATCTGTTAATGTGCTCTCTGGCTATTTCTGGCTACTTATAGATTGGATCCTCCTGACTTTGAGAATCAGAAGTGTGTGATGATCTGGATCCAACCTGTCTTCAGGAGAGTGATGCTGAAAGCCTTTTGGTCCTGGCAGCTAGCATCCTGTCTTCTACTTTCTCCTAGGAAAGTTACAGCCCATTTCAAGAGCATAATAAAGAAAGTTGATTATTAGAACCATTTTCACTCAGGATGTAAGCTTGGACATAGAATGCAACAATATTGGCCATTCTTATGAACTTCTTTAGAAGCTGGATGAGGGTGGCATATCCCTTCTGGTTCTTTTAGAACTTTTGGTGGCCTTCTATAACATTTAGACTGGCATCTTTCTGGAGCATTTGAAAAGATTGGTGATTAAAAGCACTATCCTATGCTCTACTGTTTCTTTAGTGTGTAATTCCATTTGGTCGGTGGAGAGATTAGCCTGGTAGTTACTCCCACGTGAAATCTTTTACCTGGTTTTTGACATTTACATCAAACTGATAGAACATTCATCTGTACCAAGTATGATATTATCAGCAAATATATAGTGTAATCCTGGGACATCCAAGAGATCTGTTAATGGCTTCTTCTGGCATCTGAGAGTAAATATTAGAGGCCGAAAGGGACAAAACAATCCTAACCCTGTTCAGAACAGAGTTACTGTTTGTACATTAAGGAGTTCTGTCAGCCCCAGTTTGGTCTCTCAATGAGGTGCAATATCCCTAAGGGAACAGGTATTGCAGGATAAACAGATGGAGAAGGTGGCAGCAGCTCTGATTGTTGTGCCTGTTGCAGGACTGCTTAGACTGGGAAGACCATGTAATGGTGTTTCCTGCTGATCCCTACAATGTATTCAAAAAATAGCTATATTTAAAGACCACTTAAAAGTTGCAACTAGTCCAGAATGTAATGGTCCAAATGCTGGCTGACATATGTTGGAAACATTATTACATTTTGATCCGACAATGTTCAGTTCTTGCTGCAATTATAAAAAGATGGATAGCTTTATACAACATTAACAGAGCCAAGCATGATTTGACCTGTCATATATGCAGGTGTCAGGAAATGCAGTTACTTATTTGTTGCAGTAAGGGCAATGAGGCATACAAGCACTATTATTCAGTGAGTACATTTGCATTACCGATAGTTTACCCAGGGAAATTACACTGATCCCCTTGTAAACCATTAAAAGCTAAATTATTCTGAGTGCCTTTGAAAGTTGAGATGCTATTGATGTGTTATGAATGGAACTTTGTTGCCATTGTCTTTGATTTTCTACTACAGTATATATGTTTTAGGATATTATTCTCATAACTAAACTGCCTAAGTACAAACTCTTTTAATAATGGCAGGTATAAATCTAATAAATAAATAGTCACCATATGTAACTAATAGCACATTCCTTTGAGTACTTTTTGCAACCATTTTGTACCCAAGTATTGAAATCTGATTACAAATAAGGAAAAGCCAACTGGAAAGAAAAACCACTCTATGCTGGTGTATAATCATTCCATTAATTTAGCATCAAGATTCCCAAAGTACATTCTTGATGTATATATAAAAACATATTATAAATGTTATTTCACTTATGGAAAGAATTAGAATGCAGTAAAAATGTGGAAATGAAATTGAAGGGGAGAAAGAGATAGGTTGTTGTTTTTTTAGGTTCCAGTTAACAACTTTTTTTTTCTTAAGCAGATTTTAATAGTATATGAAACAGGAGCGTGAAACACACAACAGAAATCAAAACTTAATTGAGAGTCTTTTTACTACTTAGCAAATATTTATTGTGAGCAAATACATTATAAACATTATTAGGTTTTCAAACAATGAACTTACCAATATTCATGACAGTTTCTTTGGATAGTAATCAATAGCATTCAATCTTTAGTTTTCATAAGAAAAATATCTGTAGGAAAACACATAAAATACTAGATTATTATGCTGTTACAGCCAGCCTGTTATTGAATTTTTACCAATAGAAACTTGTTACCCTTAATGCATTTTTTCAAGTTAATGATAAAGTGAGGCTAGATTATGTTCACATGTTCAGTAATTCATACAATAGTCTATTAGTCTAATAGAGAAAGAAAAGTACTATATATGGCCAAAATTTTGCTAGCTTTTGTTTACTACACTGTAAGTTAACTTAACTTTTTTTAACTTCTATTTAATTGTGTCTGATTCTTGGAGAGGTTTCTGGATAAGTTCCTGCAGTTTTTTTGACAAGGTATTTCTGAAGTGGTTTGTCATTGCTTCCTTCCTAGGGCCAAGAGAAAGTCACTGGCCCAAAGTCATGCAGCCAACTTTAGGTTGGAACTGAGACTAGAACTCATAGTCTCCCAGTTTCTAGCCTAATGTCTTAATCACTATACCAAACTGGTTTTCTTACAACTTACTTTTATGTGTCTCAAAATGGCATTAGATTGAAGTTTAATAAAATGCATATTTAATCAACCAGAGAAACATTCTACAACTCATTAAAATTTGTTATTCTAGTACCAATATTGTTATATTGATTATAACAAATCTTTCAAACTCAATCAATTTTCATTATGTAGCTAATTTTTGCACTTTGTTGCTTGTTTACATGTCACAAACAACTATTGGCTATGATTCTTTTGGAAATATACATTTATACATCAATGATGGAAAAATAATTTGATTCAAGATTTACAGTCTTGGATTGCCAATATGTGTTCCAGTGGTTATCAATCTGTGGTCCGCAGGCCACTGGTTGGGGGGGGGAGGGCTGCAATGTCATCACAGGGGATCTGAGAAAGCTTGAAGAAATGTTATGATTTAAATCTCAAGTTAAATCTCTTGTTGGTCTGTGGCCATAGTTCTTGGCCTCAAAAGGGGTACATGATGAAAAAAAGATTGAGAACCACTGACTTATTCTGTAGTGAATGTGTTTGTGTGTGCACACAGACCACAGAAACATGATCATGGGCTAGAAACTGAGAGGGGCAGAAATAGCATGAATTTCAGCTAGTTTAAGAAACGAGGACGGGTGCACTACTTCATCAATGGATATGCAAAATAAAAAGAAAATCCAACCTTTCACTCTCCCCAGTGAGCTTGTAAAGAAAAAGCCCATTGTTTCTCTGGTCCACAGGTTCAGCACTGAAAGCCCTCCAGGAGACAGGCAACCCAGAGAAATAACTGTGGAGGACAACAACCAGTGAGTGAAAGGGAGGAGTCACTGCATACCCTAGTAGCCTAGTGCAGTGGAGGCATTTGCCCAAAATGAAATGAAGTGGGGCAGATGACATAAACCACAACAGTCCAGTCTGCACAAACTGGAAAGCACTTTTGACACATAGTGACAAAAGAAGCTGCCAACTCAGATCAGCTGAAAGTGAATAGAAACTTGCATTCCTGTCTACTGCAAACTACTACCTCAGGTCAGATTTGGCAGTTTGATTTGGATGTGCACACCAAACTGGACGTGCATCTCCCATAAGCTTTGTGAATGAAAGCAGTGCCTCTTCACAAAAGGGTGTCCTGGATCCTCCCGTGTCTCTCTGCATCTGCCTATTTATATGTATATATATAGAGAGAGAGAGAGAGAGGGTGGGGTCTGCAGTGTAGCATTTTTTTTTCTTGCCGGCTGCAAAGAAAAACTCAAAAGGCCCCGTGCAACTTGCGGAAACAAACACGCGGTTCCAAAACAAAAGAATCGGAGGTTGCGTGATTGCACGACATCATCTTAAACTCGTCCCAGCAACTGGTGGGAAAGGGAGGAAGCTCAGCCCACCTACCTCGGCGGAGTGGGGGTGGGGGCTTTACGGAGCCCCTTCTCGAGGGAGGGCCGCAGTTGCCAGCCAAGCTTCGAAAGACGGCGGGAAGAAAACCGCGCCCGCGCTGGTGATTGGACAAACGGCCCTGTTGCTGGGGTCGTCGTCAACGACACCAGGCAGCGGCAACCCCTCCCTCCCCTCCTCCTTCTGGCCCCTCCTCCAGGGCGGGGTTGAAAGCAGGCTAGGCTGGGGGACCGAGTGTAGAGAAAGCGGTCGGAGGCAGCCCTGGAAGCGGTCGAAAACAGCATAAAACCGTAGGAGCGAAGGAAGGGGGAGTCAGCAGAGGTCAGTGACCCTGGCCCGTGGTGGGGGGAGGGTGTTTCCCCACCTAACTCATTGTTTTCACTCCCAGGCTGGTGCTGGTGCTTGTGCTGCGCCCATTGGGCGGGGAGAGAGTCCCTCGAGCAGTTCTTTCCGGTGGTCCTTGCGCCTCCGTTGGAAATAAAGCATTCTTCCCTTAAAAGCTTGCTTCCAGCCGAGCTGACCCGCCAAGGGAGGGGGGACGCGCCCCTGTTGCTGCTCTCTCGGATCGCCGTTCTTTCCTTTCTCTGGAAGCTGCTAATAGGCGCCATCGCGGTTAGTTGTTCTTGCTTACTTCTACCCCACAAGCTTTTTCTCCCCTACACCAGTCTCGGAAATTGAGACGTGGCCGAATAGCCGCTGGCAAGCAGCAAAGTAGGTAGCGGCGTCCTGCCTGGAAACAAAAGTGATAACCCGTTCTCTCTGATACCCATCCCCAGATCGCTTGTGCAACAGTTTGAAAAAGGTTTTTAAAAGATTTTGGTTTGGCAGTGGATTGAGACTGCCTTCCTTTCTCTCTGTGCCCTTTGCTCCACTTTAACATTCACGATGTTTCAATGATAAGAGAAAGAGAGACGAATGTTAAAAATCGATGTTTATTATGGTCACAGACCAACATTTGAATATTTAAAAACAAACACCAAACGACTACAGTTAACTAAGTGAAAAAAGGAAGCCTCTTAACACTCAATACTGTATCCCTAAATGAGGAGTTTAATTCTCAAAAGTATTAAAGCATTTGGTAGATTGTCTACCCTAAATTAAACTATCCTTTAACACTGATTTCCCACCTCCATTTTGGCATCCCAAGAGCATGGCTTGCAAAGCAAAACTTAACTATTTTGGATTCATTCTTAGTTTTAGTTCCTGACTTTGAGTTTGGGTTAAGCCTTGTGAATAATCAAGATTACAATGAATGCATGGCAGTTTACCTGAGAGTTCATGAACAGTTTTCATGGGGTAGTTCACACTGAGATTGACTGGCAAAACTACATCCTGCAGTGTGAAGAACATGCACTAAAGTGCTGCCTGAGAAATGTGGCACCAAATATTTTGCATTGTTCTAGAAATATTTTTCCCAAAGAATTGTCCGATCTTTAGAACAAATTAATTTGGAATCAATTCTGATAAATTGCAACACAATCTTAGCATAGTTTATTCAGAAATACAGCTCAGTGAGGATAGGGTCACTTGCTACCAATACAATACAATACAATACAATACAATACAATACAATAGCAGAGTTGGAAGGGACCTTGGAGATCTTCTAGTCCAACCCCCTGCCTAGGCAGGAAACCCTGTACCATTCCAGACAAATGGCTATCCAACATCTTCTTAAAGACTTCCAGTGTTGGGGCATTCACAACTTCTGGAGGCAAGCTGTTCTACTGATTAATTATTCTAACTGTCAGGAAATTTCTCTTCAGTTTTAAGTTGCTTCTCTCCTTGATTAGTTTCTACCCATTGCTTCTTGTCCCTCAGGTGCCTTGGAGAATAGTTTGACTCCCTCTTTTTTGTGGCAACCCCTGAGAAGCCTCCTTGAGAATACTGTGCTCTAAATATTTGGCTTCCCTCAAAATTCTTTGGAGTTTTCAACTAAGGACAGCATGAAATTAACACTTCTATTTGCTAGATTTATAATCTCCTTTTCTTTCAGGAGTTAACGTAAATTATGGGTTGTATTGTCTTTTCTAATTTTGCAGAAATCTGAAACTCTGAATTGATACACTGTAATTGGTCTATTATCTTTGATTATGACATAACCAAAAGAAAATTTCATATAGGGCCTTTATACAGCTAGTGCAAAGACATCTACTAGGAGAATTCATGGGAATAAAATTGATGATATTTGAAACTCTTAGAATACCAGTAGATAACCTTTGCAACAATCTTAAGAGCAATTTACTAGATACGCCTTTTATATGCTAATAGTACCTTGACCCCGAATCTTTACTTGCTACTAATGAAAGTTACACATTAATTTTGTATCGTAAAAGTGACTTAATATACCCTGATTGAAAGTAGCAACTCAGTCATTAGGTAAAGTGTTGCTAAGTTATGCATATGATCTTACTTTAGCTTTCCATTGTTTAACAGACCTGCAAGAATTGGTAATAAAGTTACTTTTTCATCAATGTTTTGTAACTGCAAATGGATGTTAAGTGAAGATTACTAGACTAGCTGATTTTATTATTTCACTTATTTATATTCTGAGGCTAACCTTAAATTATCTGATTTTTATAAGAAGGTCGACACAATTTATTTGCTTATTTGATTTATATCCTGCCTTCCCTTCTAAAATTCACACCAGATTAAATGATTTTATTTTATCCCCACAATGACAACTCTGGGCAGTAGGTTGAATTGATACACTGTAATTGGTCTATTATCTAATGGATTTTCAAGGCTTGAATCTGGGCCTCCCTTTTCGTAGTCAGGGGTTTAACTACTACACCACACTGGAAGCAGATGTATCTGGAACACATCTGTGCTTTCCATTGTTATTTTAAATGGAACAGTCACCTAAGATTAATCAAGGTTGCCTGCAGGTTCTGTCAATAATTACAGCCTCAAACCATAAAGATTGGAAAAGGACCACGCCCAACCTTCACCTAAGAGATTAGACAGATTACTCAAAGCTGCATCCAGGTTCTGTCAATAAAGCCTCAAATTATAAAGATTGGAAAAGCTAAACGGGGGTTATTTTAATACTGCTTTCAACAAGAACTTTATCATCCAAAATAAAAATAATTTCTAATCCCCAATGTTGCACCAAAGTTGACAAGGTTCTATGGTTGCATACTTTGGAGTTACTACACTTACTTAATTTTTTATTTCTAGAATCAATTTAATGATTGGGATGCTAGCATAAAGCAGATAAATTTGTCCAGTAAAATGTAGATACCTCTCAGTGCCTCCACGTCTGATACATACCACAGTTGGAAGAAAGATACTTCCTTGTTTCTTTTACAGTTAATAGTACTTGTGATTTACTCCTATAGCTGGGAATCTGGATTCTATTCTTCTTGGTGTATCACATTTAATATATTTAAAATTATAAACTGATAATGCTGAATGAGAAGTGCCTTATTTAAAACATTACTATTTCTAGAGGAATGCTAACCTATGTTAGCAGTAGGTCAATTATTTGAAGAACAATATGGAAAAACATGGTTTCAAATATTACCTGGAAGCTGTGTTTTATTTTATTTTCAATGCCTTTCCAAAGGAGCCAGCACTACCTTTTACTGTATAAAAAGTACTGCTTTAAGTTTAAATTGCATTAAAAATTGTATTGACATACATTACTTTATATGTTATCTGTATTATTGCTAACTTTTCATAGAACCATCTTAACTTTCTTAATTGTGTTTCTGTCAAAGAAACTCAGGGGAGCAAATGTTAATTCCAAAAAGCAGACAAGCGTTAACTTAAACAGTCCTAGATAGATTTTTTTTCCCCTTTGAGAAATGAGATCATCTTCCCCAGAGGAACGTATATTCTGCTTGACAGACGATGACATCAGTGCATTAGCTAAGCAGGATGAGGTAATGCTTTGATACATGAATGAGGTTAGTTGGTAACAGCATTGTCCTTTCAAGAGGTTTGATGCTTCTGTAGGTTAGTATCACTGTAGTGGAACAGAAGTAAATAATTGCTGACAGAGCATGTGTCAGACTCTGCAAAATCAGAACAGATGTCGGCTTATGGGAAGGTCTTTTTGTGGTTCTTTGTCCTAGGAAAGTGTGTGGTCAATTTGCTTTATTTGAAAAAATGATTGTATTTTGTAAAATGTAATTGTTTTTAAAGCGATGACATATTCATTTAACTTATGCAGGTAGTGTTTCTTTGTATTCTTCTAGTTTTCTTATTGGTATCTTGGTTTTTGTGTATATTGACTGAATTTCCCTTAATTATATATGCACATTCTTTGCATGTTCTGGGCTAAAAAAAATGGAACCCTCAATTTCTTTAGACCAACATTTCTTCTGAATAATTATCTAAGCCTTAGTGGTAACTAGATTGTATTTTCTTTGTTTGAGCATCATTGAAGGGAAATATTCATTTTATTATTACCATGGATAACTAGTGAGTAGCCAATTAGTATTTTTAGGATTCAGAGACAATAGGCTCAAATAAGGGTGAAATGCTCACCAGGATGTCTGGAGTAAATAGTAAGAGAGTCACAGAAAAAGATATCACCAGTTCACATCATAACATTCCATCCTTGACAATGTCCATGTGTCCCATCACTGTTCTACCTTGAACAGACCCTACAGGGAAAGGGGGAGCCTCTTTTAATTGCCACACCCTTATTCTTATTGTCAGGAGTCCAGCATCAGGATCTCAGAAAGTGTTCACATGGATCCCTGCTGTAGGCTAGCTAGCACATAAAATTAGGGAAGTCCAATTGAAAAGAGGGGAAACAGCATCCTGAGACCCCTTCAAGTATTGATTTTTCATAGGTCAGTAGACAAATTGCCTAACTGAAATAATTCAACATTCAGGGAAAATGCACCATATATCCCTTGATCCCATAGATGCAGTAACTATTGACCTTGTTTCTCAAAAGGGATTTACAAGGCAAGTAAGTAAGTCTAAGTGCATATGTGCAGGAATTTACAAAGTCACACTTTGCTAAATCACATACTGTTTGCTAAAGCATGGTTTATTTATTATTCATGTTTACAACCACTCATTTCACACAAGTGACTCTGGGTGCTTTACCAGATTAAAAACGAAGAACCCTCCCAACATCCCTCCACCTGGAT